ATGGTGTGGATTTTGGTGGGGGGGGGGGGGGGGGGATTCTTGGTTGTCTTACCTCTTGAAGAGTATACCATAAAATGTCCATGAAAACTAAAGGATTTCCTGATTGTTTTGGTATTAGATTAGTACAGCATCAGTTTTGTATTTGAGAATTAAGTCAATTTCATGAATTGTAGAGAAAATCTGCTTGTCATTTAGTGTACGTGAAAACTGGGATGACAGTGGAATTAGTATAGAGATCATGTCTCCCCTAAAGTTGATTATATTTGGTATCAAATTTTGAATCTGGACGTAACGGATAAGTACTACAACAAAAATTTGCAACAGGAACAAGGCGACAAATAAATATTTAAAAATGAAGATAAATAAATAAATGAAACAAGACTACAAATAAATATTTTTTAAGTTCTCCATTGACCCCATCTTTTAGAAATTGCCAACGGGACGGGGAGTTGGCGAGAAAAATTTTGTTGGGTGGTACGATCATCGAATGGGAAGCTATTACCTCATCAGGTGGTCCACGCTTACCCAATAAGATGAGATCACCTTGAGACTTGATTTTTTTTCTCTTTCCATCTCAAGTCCCGAGGTGGCTTCATCTCATTGGGTGAGGATGGGCCATCTGATGAGGTGGTGGCTCCCCATTTGCCTGTCCCACCACATAAGACGGTAGGACATTCCCACTAAAGTTTTTCGCGGGAGTTGGCACACAAAAGAGACTTGGGATGAAGAAAAGCTTGTCGTCATGTCCCATCCCAGTGCAATTTGTGTAAATAGAGCTGTCGATTTTGCTTTGAACAAGAATTTCAGAACTGATGGAAGTTGGAAGTTGCTCTTAAATGCCAAAATCTTTATGTGCATTTTATGGATAAAGATGTAAAAGTAGGGCATACCCTCTTCAATACGTTCTTGTTCTCCAGCTATTTGAGAAGGATAGCATCTGAGTCTGTGGGCTGGGTTTTGTTTTAATGTCAAGATTAGATAAATTTAACACGTTGTAAACGTAAGTGTTTACTGTTTACGTAGTTGACTTGTTTTGGAAAGAATTTAGAAAAAATGGGAATTTTTCTCAATCTACTACTTATTTTAGGCACAAATTTATCGTGGATTAATTCTGAATGGTTTTCTATTTTTTTTTTCCTGTTAACCGGATGAAGAAGTCAATTTATAAATGCAAGACATGAAACGTGATTTTGTTATGATTTACAAAAATGGGCAAAGAAAGGGGCTATTGTGACCATTGCACTCAAGACTTTCTAATGTCTCGGTGTTAAATTGGGCCCCGTTGAGATGCCAGTCACCACCGGTTCAAGCTCTTCCATCTTATTTGTCCTTTCTAATTAAAGATGGATTGAGCTTTCTCGAAAAAAAGAAATTATCCTCTCATTTTGTATGATTATTTTGTATTGTAAAATTTGAAATCTGAATGCAACTAACTCCTTGTCTAACAATACACTATTTTTAGAGTAATGCTATGTAACTTCACTGAAGTTTCAACCCCGATATAGGTGGTGGGTTGCGCCATCTCTACTGATATTGTAATCCCAATGGACTATACAGCATTATTCCTATTTTGGTTCATATAATCAAAGTGGTGAATTCAGTGCTAGACACTATTATTTACGATAAATTTATGGGCAAATTTCATCCTTAAAATTGGCTTATAAAGAGATGTTAACCAAAATATTTATAAACTCAAAAGGCAAGCCTTCCGCGAGCGATGTTGGATATAGTTAGATGATCACATTTCATCCTTCTTCAAAACCATGTCCCCAGCAGCCCATTTCCATATGTGGAAGACTCGACGGAAATAATATGCTACTCTTAGTAGATCTCCGTAGGTAGCCCTAAAGGGTGCATGAAATGCTTATAAACTCACAAGGCTTACCTTCTACGAAGAAAGTGGAATGCAATGTATAGCTCGCATACACACATGACGATCGATACTCGACTTCTTGTACTCAACCTTATACTCTGGAGTAAAACTGTGTAATAATATTTTTCTGAAGAAAAATAATAATAAAGCATGCATTAATTTAGGTACCATCTTTGTCCTACCATGTCATTTATTACATTTGTTGATGGCCAGCCACCACTACCTAACTCTCTTAAAGAATTACCAGTTTCGTCCTCATACGCAAACTAACATAACTCACAATGTCAAACACATTCCTGTGTATGTATATGTGCGTGTAAACAGATACCATCTGCTTGCTGTGTTCATGTGAAAAAACAAAGTCTTGGACTCTCACATGGCCAATTGGCACTTGCTCAAAAAACCCACCTTCGTTAACAAACATATACCTATAATTAGGTTTGGCAAGCTCAGGATTTCTTCAAACCCTTTCCTCTTTGGTAATTGGTAGTTGAGCTATCTGTGTGATCCTTTTTTCAAAGACTTGCACCATTAAAAATTGAGACTTTTGGTGCAGTTTTCTTGTAGCTTTGTATTTTACAATCTTTCCTTTTCTTTAAAATCTAAAATCCATTTTTTTCTCCTCCAATCCCAACTAATAATTGCTTACAGGCGTGTTAAGATTGGTTTGTTCATCTTATTATAGACTCTTCTGAAAAATACCATCTGTTTCTTGTTTAAGAACACCAACAAGAGGAGAGAAATGAAGAACATAGAAATGGATGAGGAAAGACTAATGGCCGACGTGGCGTTTAAGAACTCCTCGTCTGTGGTCATAAAAATCCGGCGAAAATTGCCGGATTTTTTGCAGTCTGTTAAGCTCAAATATGTCAAATTAGGCTATGGTTATTCGTGCAATCCTGCAACTCTCCTTATTTCCATTGTAGTCTTCCCTTTGTTCTTTGCTACTGCTATACAACTCAGTGGTCTAACCCTCAGACTTTTTTCTGATATTTGGACCAAACAAACAATTGTTTTCGATACAGCCACCGTTGTAATCGGTTCGACCGTATTGATGTTTTTGTTAGGCGTGTATTGGGCCAAACGGCCAAGACCAGTTTACTTGGTTGATTTCGCGTGTTACAAACCAGAAGATGAACGGAAAATGTCAATTCCATCGTTCTTGAAGATGACCGAAGAGAATGGTGCATTTGAAGCGGAATCAATTCAGTTCCAGAAGAGGATATCACACCGGTCTGGCCTCGGTGATGATACGTATTTCCCTCGGGGAATTACATCCACGCCCCCTAATCTATCCATGAAAGAAGCCAGGTTGGAGGCCGAGGCTGTCATGTTCGGAGCACTGGATTCTCTCTTCAGCAAAACTGGAGTTAAACCGAACGACATTGGAATTCTTATCGTGAACTGCAGCTTATTCAATCCAACCCCGTCTTTGTCCGCCATGATAGTCAACCATTACAAACTTAGAACTGATATCAAGAGCTACAATCTTGGAGGAATGGGGTGCAGTGCTGGCCTCATATCAATAGACCTGGCAAAACACCTTCTTCAAGCTAACCCTAATACATATGCAGTTGTAGTGAGTACTGAAAATATCACTCTCAATTGGTACTTTGGAAATGACCGTTCAATGCTATTGTGTAACTGCATCTTTCGTATGGGTGGCGCCGCCATGCTTCTCTCGAACAAGGCCCGCGACAAATCCCGGTCCAAGTATGAGCTGATCCATACCGTTCGAACCCATAAAGGTGCAGATAACAATAGCTACAATTGTGTCTATCAAAGAGAAGATGGTAAAGGAACAGTTGGAGTTTCACTTGCTCGAGAATTGATGGCCGTAGCCGGTGATGCTCTGAAGACAAATATAACGACTTTGGGACCTTTAGTTCTACCATTTTCTGAACAATTCATTTTCCTGGTTACCTTGATGAAGAAAAAGGTCTTCAAAGCTAAGGTCAGGCCTTATATACCTGATTTCAAGCTTGCTTTTGAACACTTCTGCATACACGCTGGTGGAAGGGCAGTGTTGGACGAGTTGCAAAACAACCTTCAACTCACTGAGTGGCACATGGAGCCATCGAGGATGACACTGCACCGGTTCGGGAACACGTCTAGCAGTTCATTGTGGTATGAATTGGCTTACACAGAAGCGAAAGGCCGGGTTTCAAGGGGCAATCGGGTTTGGCAGATTGCGTTTGGGTCGGGTTTCAAATGTAACAGTGCTGTTTGGAGAGCCCTGAGGGAAATTCCAGCTAAAGAATGCGAGGGTAACCCCTGGTTTGATTGTATTGATAAGTATCCTGTTGAGGTTCCTGTAATATAAATTTGTTCATGGAGCTTATTGATGGAAGTGTGCTTATAAGTGATAAATTCTATTTCTGTATTAACTTTTTCATACGAAGATCCAAGCTACAGGCTTATAGCTGTGTGTACCCATATTTCAAATAGAGAACAAATCTATTGTAAATGTTAGGTCCTATGCCCAATCGATTTTGGACGTAAACACTTTTAATATGATCAATGTATTTTATATATGACGATATATTATTCATTTGAATTACTATTCTAATAATTATACTATATAAAGTCCGTATATTCAAATCCTGGTAAATTGTTAATTACAATGAGTTGTAATAGTAAGAGACAAATCACACATAATTGAATCTTAAATTATCTGTGATTATAAGTAATAACGAGATACAGATATTGTTATTATGAATACACTTTCATGTGTGGCATTTTTCACTTGTGAAATGAGTAGCCGACCTCACAAGTTAAAATGTAATGATATTTGAATGGACGTGTGAATGTTTTGTTATGAGAACATAATATTGGAATGTTATAAGAACAAAACATTGGAAACCCATTGGAAAGATTTTACGTGGATAACTATTTGAATGTTAATGTTTAATCTCTAACGTTCGGTAATGAAATTGGTCACTCAACTTGAGATCATCATAGTATTTTATATGAGGGCAGTCATGTTTTGATGGTATTGAATATTACTCTACCAAGAGTCATAAATATGGTATCGTTCGAGTATGTCCAAAATCATGTGAATGTTGTAAATGATTAATAAAGGATTTGTCACTCTTAGATAGTAAGATATTATAATCTATATTTCATTCAATTAAGTTGATAACGAAATATGTGCTCATAAGTCGAAAAGAATATTTTTGATTTAAGAGTGAGATGAAAAATATCATCAATAATCGAGATTGACACTCTTCCATTGATCATATCATATTGACGAAAAGATTATATTTTCACAGTAAACGAACAAGTTTGTTTTTGTCATACCACGTGATATTTATCGTCACGTTTATTGTCATGATACATTGTTAGATATAAATCTGGGACGATGAGTATGAATTAATGATAAATTAAAACAATTTTTTAATTTACCGATTTTGATTAAATCAAAATAATAATTCACATCGTTAGGTATCGTGATTGAGAACTTAATGGATCACACACAATAAGGAAATCTAGAAGAATGATATTAATTATTAACTAATTGAAATTAGACCTGGCTAAATTTAAAGGACAGACCAAGCTCACTTAAATATTTATTAATAAACTGTTAGGGGTTGAGAAATGATAACACGTTCATTATCTTATTAACCCAAGAAAAGAGAAATCTTAATTCTCTCTTTTTTTTCCCTTGTGTGGATTATTATTAGAGGCTTTACAATTGGACAATTGCGGTGTACAAATCGTGATTGTACGTGTTTCAAGATAGTCAAAGAACTTCGTAGAATTAATTAAAGGTGAATTCTTATTATAGTTTCCATCTAAACAAAAAGAAAATCCCCGATGAGAATTGAAATTTTTTAAATTTTGTTGTGCATGATTAAGTAAATTCTCAACATTTATATGCACTTATTTGGTTGTTGATTTTAATTTAAGTCAAAGTCAACAGTATTCCTTTAATTTGTACATGCGCTAGAGGAGATTGAGAGTACAGCTATTGACCTCAAAAAATTGATAATATTTTAGAGTCAACAGTCGAATTTTCTGCCTGAATTTCCGGAGGATCTTCCTTCTTTTTGGGAAAGTTTTTATGAAAACCTATTGTTTATATAAAAGGAGTAAGGACCAAGGTTATTTTGACCAGATAGTATTTCTCGCTCGAAGAGAGTGATTTTTCGAGATCGATGTCGCGGATTTTCATTTGATACAATGCTCTTTTTCACAATAGAAGTTTTGATATCAGATTTTCCCTCTCTGCTTATTGTGCAATGGCTTTATATTTTTAAGGGCATTTTGGTCATCTAATGAGTTGACATTCTTTAGTAATTATGTTGAGAGTTATAAATTTATAATTATCTTGATTGAAGATATTCTTTCAGTCCCCGAGATATTGGTCCATGTTAAAGGAGGTAAGTCCATTTTAGGTTCTTAGTTCCCCCACTGAGGCAACATATAATTCCTCAAATTAATGAAGGCATACCTATAGAGGAACTTGACTCTCTCATTGTGTTTCGAATAGAACAGAGTTGGCACAATTTCTCAATGAGTTAACGGAGAAAGGCCTAAAGAGGACCTTGACTCCCTCATTGGATCTTTAAATAGAGTGGATGGAACCATTTTCTTGGAGGACAAGGCCTTTGGAATCCTATGCTAGGACCTGTCAATGACCCAGCTCCAGCATCAGTGGTTATCCTATGCTAAAGCTTGGAGTCTTACAGATGCCCGGAATCATAAAGGATTATAGCTAACCCATTTCCTTGATATTAGAGAACCATGAGTCTAGTTTTGGAAGACTTGCAGTCTACCAACAATAGTGACGCATTTATAGGAGCCACTATTACCCCAAATGTGTGGTGAAGACATAATAACTAGCAGCGAAAGCTGACCTTCAACAGGGAAACCACCAGCAGAAAATAGCACAATGTAGTAAGCGAGGGACTGCAGCCTTCCAAATATTAGAGATGACCATGAGCTATAGTATTGAAAGCTTATTGTTGTCTCGAATAAATGAGGACTTATAGTCAGACTACAGCCGGCCTTAGCATCATAGATAATCACGGGCCAAGTTCGAAAATAGTAAAGCTTGGCCCCTGCATAGCAATAGGTCCGATGGGCAAGCGTTGGGTGAGCAAAGACCAAAGGCTTGTCGAAGCCTCCAGCATCAGATATAATCATGAGCTAGGACCTGACCTATAGCTGGCATTTGCATCATAGATGATCACGTCTAAGATCAAGGTGTCTTTCTCTCAATTGTGCCTAGTGTACGAGGGAAATTGTTCAAAGTCCCTTCTGTGGCTGACTAGAAGTCTAGACGGACAATAATTATTCTAGTACGACAACATGAATTGAAATGGGAAGATTGAAGACGAGATAAAGAGGAGTTTCAATTGAATGCGTACTCTACTTTGCAAGGCCACAGATTCCAATGAGTTGCTTATGTTGGAACGTCTACAAGGCGGGAGATCCAAGCACGGAAGGGGAACTTCACCAGATCAGCACTTTCTCTAACTCTGAGTCTTCCTGTCCAGACAAATTGATTGGCACACAAGCTTGCGGTCGTGGTAGAAGTGGCAGACTCTTATTATTGTGGCAAGATGAATGGGATGTTAGCACCACATCATACTCCCACGATCATATAGATGCTCTTATCACTCGGAATTGAGTGGCAATTTTCTAAACTCTACGGGAACCCACGACCAGAACTTCACCAGTTTTCTTGGGAGAAACAAGGAATATTGGGAAAAGCAAAATAAAGAGCAAAATTAAAGAGTTTGTTGGAGTGTATAAACAAATTGTTACAAATTTAAGGATGCTCTCTAAAAATAAAGAGTGGAAATGCTCTAATTGGTTAAAATATTATTTGGAAAAGGCAAATGTCTGATTCAATAACATTCAAAACTTTGAAATTTGTATCTGAAAACTGCATTTTATCTCTTATGTGTCCCATGTTGACTTCAGGTCTGTCCTCATCTCTAGCTTGCATAACATACAGCTCCTCTATTTTATTTTATTTTATTTTTTTGACAGTTCGTCAGCAGGCACAACATTTTACCTCCACCCATCCTGTGGCATGAGAAAACAACGGTTCAGAACAGATTCTCAAGAAGGTGATAGTTTTACTCTGTACTTTATGAGTGTGTGCCCATGGAAACGCAATCACAAGAGAGATTAGTGAGGGGCAAGGTGTTATATACTCACTAAAAACAATCTTTCAAGAGAGAGTAAATAAGTAGTGGTGTGGGATGTTTATAAGACCATCAGAGAATTTCCATTAGTAACTTATAAACATCCCACACCACTACTTATTTACTCTCTCTTGAAAGATTGTTTTTAGTGAGTATATAACACCTTGCCCCTCACTAAATGAGTTGCTTATGTTGGAACGTCTACAAGGCGGGAGATCCAAGCACGGAAGGGGAACTTCACCAGATCAGCACTTTCTCTAACTCTGAGTCTTCCTGTCCAGACAAATTGATTGGCACACAAGCTTGCGGTCGTGGTAGAAGTGGCAGACTCTTATTATTGTGGCAAGATGAATGGGATGTTAGCACCACATCATACTCCCACGATCATATAGATGCTCTTATCACTCGGAATTGAGTGGCAATTTTCTAAACTCTACGGGAACCCACGACCAGAACTTCACCAGTTTTCTTGGGATCTATTGCGAACGTTATGCAGGATGAACCTGGTTCCTTGACTGTGAGACGGGGATTTCAATAATTTAGGTCGCTAGAGAAAAGTCGAGGAGCCCAAGCGCTCCAAGGTTGCCATGGGGGAATTCCGTAAGAGTCCTTAGGGACATGGCATTTAATGGTTCCCCGTTTAAAACGATATAAAAAGAAAAGAACGCAAGAATGATCAATAAGCACTAACAAGCTTATTTAAGCTGCTTCATGTTTATCTAAAGACTACAATAATTAAACCCTTTTTCCATAACTAGCTACTCAAACAGTAAATACACTGAGGCTCCACTTCTAGTAGGGTCGATACCGTCTACCACAAATAGAATCATCGTTGCCAGTGCCAGTTCCTCGTGCTTGCAGTCCACCAGCACCGTTGCTCCTATCGTTCCTCCGAGGTCTCACTGGCGGTGACATCTGTACTCCAAGCTGCTGACTGTACAAAAATAAGTTGGTTAAAGATATTCGAGCTTCGTACTTACACATGAAAATACCAAATTGATGCGACTTACAGGACATAGCCAATTTGACCATCTGGTAAAACCATTGGCACCATCTGCATCCCTGCTGGCATTGGTCCCCTTCCAAAAATCATAGGCTGCTAAAGTGGGCGATTCCATTAGCTAGAAATCCTTTTCAAAAAACAAAAACAGAATATAAAAAATCAAGATCCTCCCAGTTTACTACCTGCTGGAGTCCGGCAGCTGTACCATACCCAGACGCTATAGGGGCAGCATAAGGATTCATAGGTATACCAGCATATCCAGGACGAGGAATATAATTAGGCATCAGCAAGGAGCTATGAGGATTAGCCATATCGAACTTTTTCTCAGTCTGAGGCTTTGCAAGAACAACTTCCAACAAATGACCTATAATACACAATATTGATCAC